TGCCCCAGCCCTGACCCCCCTCCCAGAGCCAGCAGCCTGTACCCTCTCCTGCACCTCAACACTCTGCCCCAACCCAGAGCCCTCTCCTGCACCCAAATTCCCTCCCAGAGCTTGCACTTCTCATCCCCTCCAGTACCCCAACCCCCTGCTCCAGGTTCAGCCCAGAGCCCTCTCCCACACTGCAAATCCCTAGGCCCCAGCCCAGAGTGTGCACCCCCTCCCAAACACCAAATCTCTACCCCAGCCCGGTGAAAGTGAGGGTGGGGGAGATCAAGTGATGGAGAGGAGGGGGATGGAGTGAGTGGGGTGGGGTTTTGGAGAAGGGGTGTGGCCTCAGGGAAGGGGCGGAGTAGATCCTGGGTTGCCCTTAAATTGAAAAAGTGATCTTGGGCGTAAAAAGTTTGGAGACCACTGGACTATATGATCACAGTACATCCTTCCGGCCTTAAAATCTATGAACTCAGAAGATGATGCCCATGGAATTCCTCCCTTAAGCAAGAAGGCTGTGGGAGATGGGAGTTGGAGCTCAAGGAACCCACAGGCATCAGTGGGAACTTGTGTCAGAAACTAAGGCCGCGTTAAATCAGTTCTGCAAGCTTCCCACTCCCAAGCCTTCTGATGGCTTTGACCAGACTGGTCCAAGTTGAGATCCTTCCTGTGACAGATGATCTGATTCATCAATAATATATATTTATAACCTAGGAAGATAAATACGGAGGGGAGAATAGGATTAAAAACCTCCACCCAAGCCAGACTGAAGTCATGCTCTGATACCTATCCCCAGAACAATGGATAGATCTATGATAAACCTATCAGCCAGATAGGTTCATTGGCTTCTCTCAGAGCAACCAATGAAGGGCTGCACTTGAAGCTTGGAGGGAGAGAGTTCCCATGGGGGAAGTGCCACGGCTTGGAGGGGTTGCAAGGTGAGATCCCCTAATACAGTACTCCTAGGAGGAGCGAGCACTTGACAAACAGTTGGTGAGGGGGGAATGTCCTCTGGACACAGCTCAGGATTGAAACTCCTACAGGGAAGGCCAGAGAAGAGAAATGCTATTTACATATCAAATGGCCTTTTCTTCTCTGGCATCCAGCTGAGAAAAGGCCACATCTAGTTCAGCCTATGAGAAGTGTAAATCCAGAGACGGTACTCTAAACACCTCTTCTGTTTTAATTCCATCTTCTCTCTTTCTACTTTCAATGCCTCTAATTCTAAGGAAATCCACTGTTGCGTGGGATTTTTAAGCAGTCCGGCCTTGAAGGGAACAATCTCTAAGGAGAGTACAGAAGGCAAAAGGAGTTCTGGAGCTTATGCTCTCCTCCCAGTCTTGGTCAAGGGCCATGGACAAAGTTGTCCTATCCCAGTGAGTTGTGTGGCCATCAGGCTATGGTAGGCAAACACAAGGGGTGTGGCTGAAGGACCGTCCTAGGAGATGGGAGTTGGTGGTGGTGTTTGGTTTGCAGTGCTAGCAGCATATTGGGTCTGGCTGTGGTGAAAACTCATAAGAAGCAACCATTGGAAAAACAAGAATTATAGAGGAGAAAATCTGTTCTATACTTATTTTCTTTTTGGGTTAAGATTAAGAAAAGGCAGAAGGAGGAGGTGAGCTATGAGATGTTAAAGGAGGAGTAGCAATAGAGCTGTGTGGGGAAAGAAAACTACTTTAGCAACTTTAACAATCAACAAAAACAAGTGTTGTATTCATGGGATCATGACCAGCATGGTCACATGCAGCCAAATGGGGGCTCAAGAACTGCAGAGAATGGAGAAACCTCGCAAGGGAGGAACCAGGCACAGCCAGTGCCAGGAGCCAGTCAGGGCCTGAGGAAGTTGAGGGAGAACAGGGCCACAGCAGACCAGGAGAAGCTGGAGAATCCAATGTGGAGGATGAGACCTCACTGGGGAGCTTGGAGGATGAATGGAATGTCTGCAGTGACAGGAAGAACCGCAGAGCATCGCCTGGGCAGAGTGCCCAGGGCAAATGGGTCTGGGAGTGGAAGAAACACCAGCTGGAGACAAAGAGACTGCAGCTGCAGGAAAGATAATGTGTTGAGTAGGAATTAAAATGCCAACATAAGAATGGAGAGCATGACAGACAGCATTATCATGAAGTGGGCACTAAGTGGTTGCACAGCCAGAGGCTAAGGTATTGGGTAAGTGGAGATAGAAATCACCCATCTTATTCCACAGGCAATGTAGCTCTTGAACTGTGTCCTATACATAAAGAAGGTGGTACCATCTATGTTTTCTAAAGGCTTGTGAATGGAGGTGCACACGGAACTGGGTAGCTGCTGTGGATAAGATGCAGTTTCTAGCCCCCTTACCGAATGGTTAATATTAACAGCATGATCTCAATGGCCAGTGAAGAGTGTTTGAATGACGAGTTTAAAATCACTTTGCTGCATAAATTTGAAGAGACCTGTGACTCATACAGAAAGAAATTTCAGGGAGCTTGGAAGCAGTGTATGAAGGGTTATTCCGAAGTTGCTACTCAGCTTGGAGGAGACTTCACAACAGAAGAGGCCTTTGGGCTGATGGGAATGGGACAGTTTTATATGCTGTGCACTCAGGAGTTGAAAGTGTGACTCATGGATCGGAATCCCAAAACTCTGTACATGGCAAGCAGATTAGCTGAGGAGTACATCCACAGTCCTTCTGGGACAGATGAAAGGTCTGGGGGGCGGGTGGGAGGTGATCATTGTAGTGCTTAAGAGTCCTAGTCATGGACCTGGTTCCCCTTTTGCTAGGTG